TCCAGAGCACGCTGGAGAAACTAGTCAGATCTCAGCACTGGTTTAAAGATTAACAATTCGGTTTTGCTACATGACAGTATGCATACTGCCATCAGTTTTGCTACTAAATTCTAGTCACGGGTAAGAGTAAGCCAAACTGACTGTGACAAGCGGTGTCACTGCTTGACTGGCTAGAGTGTGGCTACACTCACTGTGGTGTAACCAAAGACCTGTTATTACGATCTTAAGGTGCAACCGCTACTTCAAGCTTTCAACAGAACACGGAAAGATAGCTACAGCAGAGGGCAAGGCTGTCCAGTAGGTCCCCTGTTCACAGAAAGAGTCTTGCCTGGAAAGTAACACAGAAGGGTTCAAATGTGACAATAATACCAGAAACAAGTATGCAAAGCAGAACTTTGCAGAACAAGCAGGAAAACACATTACAACACCTCTGAAATAAACTGAACATCAGACAAGAGCTGGATCATGTGCTGAAACAAGGGACCTTGAAATTCAGGTTCAAGAGCTAATGCAAAAGAGCTGGAGATCAGCATGTCTGGATGTCTGGAAACGTAAGCACGTTAATCCTGAAACACTACATTCAGTATTTCCAGTGATGAAGAGTTTAGAATTACATCCCCAAGACTGATGAAAAATGAAGTTGAGCATTACGCTACCAAGATGAGTCTACGAGGCAGAAATACAGAATCTCATCACTGTCAATTAAAGGCAGAGGAATGCATTATGCTTGTCAATCAAAGGTTAAAATAAAGACAACTGAAATGTCCAATAAGCTCTGTGAAACTACTCACGGGGATACTCATTAAAGCACTCATTTGTATGTCCTCAAAAATACTCCAAATCAGTCTCAAAGCTGACTGCATTAGCAAGTGACTATCACGGAGTGCACAAAAGGCTAGAGCAGCGATTACTAACGCATTTCCTACTGAGCCAAGACTCTACAAAGGGATGCACTGCAGATGGGCCATTTGGTCCCTACAGAAAGTTTAAGTAGTAGTCCTTTTCTAGGCACTCGTGGCACCTAGTTGACTAGGTTGAGTTTGAGATCACATTCCCTCTCCCCCACAGAGCTCATCTAAGAGTATCTTCATTACATTGGAACTAAGAAAAATCCACACAAGCCGAGTCGTATGTACAAAGGAATCGGGTCTGAAAATACTTATCTAAGAATCACAGCAAGTTGCTTATTGACTCTGAACAAGACAAAGCTTAAAACCGAAAACCACGCAGCTTTGATGCAAGCTTAACATACAGGTATGAAGAGTGCTGCACTGTAATTCCACAGTCAGAAGTGTGATGTCAGAATACCCACAGTATAAGATTACATAGAAAGTCACCAAGTTATATTATATTGCTTGTTACCTACCTGTACGCAGTCGGCAATGAGAATCTTGGAGCAAGCAGGAATACTACATCCGGGTCCTAATGTCCATTGCCATTTGTGGTACTACGTTCCTCACAGTTATGAACTGCAGAAATGCTGGCTAAGTGCAGTTATGTAGCAGGCCACTAGTTTAAGTGTAAATTGCAGTCTCAAACTCCAGCAAAAACTTGCTGCCACAGTAAATGGTTGCCAAGGAGAAGCCAAGAATTTTTCTACCACAAAAATACCACAAAATCTCAAAAGCAGTTGCAGTTTCTCATCAGCTGTATAAATGATTAGTGTAATGTGTCTACACCAGAAGATAAGATTATTCTGTATTCATTTCTGAGAAAGCGTGAAGATATATGTATAGCGATACCAGTTTCTACATGCTACAGTTTTTAGAAATCTAAGTGTCAAAATGGGCTCAATTTTGATAAAGCAAGCTAAATTGCAACAGCCAATGTCCTGCAAGTCCAGTACAAAAATGTGTTCTGTGATCCAGACCATCCAAAAACAGGTCTGACCAACGAAGCACTTTTCTAAGTGGTTTTAAAGATTCAATTATATATAAATCTGATTTTATAAAAAAAGTCCAAAACCTCATAGGAACAGATCAAAGGAACGTAACTTTCTCACCTCCCACATTTATCAACTTTATCAGATTTTAAAGTTGACATGTTTGCCAGCTTTTAAGACACCACCTTTAAAAAGTCTTGAAAAGAAGTTGGCTAGTTAATTGTATGCCTGTTTAATATATGCAACTCAAAGCAGAACTTATTTTACAAATTCTGCTTATGCAGCTACAACAAAGCTAGATTTAACCAAACTTTCACATTTTGAAAACTGCCAAATCTTTCAATTTATTTACTAATCATGGTTTTGCAACTCAGCTATTTTTAATACCTAGCAACAGTAGCTTACGTACAAAACAGGGGTACCAAAAGACCACCTCTGTAAGGTACAAGGACATCAGCATCCTTCACTCTTCCAAGTTACAGAACTACAAAAGAACATACTTTAGGATATGCACCAGCATCTCTTTAATAAAGAATGACATGTAATCTGAAAAATAAACTGAAAAAATTAATTTAATGTTTACGTTCAGAATTCCCCATCTCAGACTTCACCTTTTGCGGGTGTCCCATGAACACCCTCCAGAAAACATATGCATTATTTAATACTACTTCAGTAAAGCCAATTGCATCGGTACTGCTGATTTTTA